GATATTATCAGATCACAGACGGTGCCCTACTTTTTGTGTTAATTATTGGGAAAGTTCTCTTTCTCAATAAAGCTTTAAGATCCCTGAGGTCCCAGCCCCGGTCCAGTGCGCAGCCCCTGCCCTGAGACTCAGTTTCCACAAACCCTGCCGGAGAGCTGGCGTGAAATGCAAATGCCATTGCCGTCCCAGGCTGAGGAAGCTGACTCTGCCCCGTGCAGGCCGGGGACAGGAAGCCGTGGTCTTTTCCTTCACCGTGACCTTCTGCCCATGGTGGGACGTCTGCAAGGCCTGGTCTCCTCTCGCCGCCACTTCCCGCCCCTCCTGTGCCGCCCTGAGCCCGAGCAAAGCCGCCTCTCTCTCAAGGCCTGGGCGGACACCCAGGACCGCCGGAGCCCCTCCCTGTCCCCACGCTGTGGGATTCTCGGTCCCTCCATGGAGTCCCCACCATGAGACACTTACCTTACAGGAAAAATCACACTCTGTCCTGAATTACAGCTGCCCGAGTCCCGTAGCCAATCCCGCTCAGTCCCATGACCCTGGCATCTGTCGCAGCTCCCGGAAAACACTGCCCGTCCGGTATGTTCTGGGTGAGCTCAGCTGAATTCCCTCTGCCCGCTACGGGGGTGCGTCTAAGCCACGCTCCTCCCCTTGGTGACTTCAGTCGCGGGAACTGTGTCTGCCGCCTGTACTCGCGGGTCACCAGCGCCTTAGCACGCAGGAGGCAGGACACGCGTGTTTTGGGTAGGGAAGCGGGTTGCAGTCGCACGACCAGGTAGGCCTGGGCCGTGCTCCTCCCAAGTCCACGTGAAGGGCGGAGCGTCTGTCACCTGTGCGGGGACAGGGCGCACTCACCGCTCCCGGCTGCCTCGAGTCCCGGGTGGAGGCAGCACGCGCCCTGCTCTGGCTCTGGTGTCGCTCCCTGGACTGACCCCGGCTGGCCCAGTGTGAGGGTGGCAGGAAGGGCCTCATCAGCCGCGTCTCCAGGGGGTTGTGGGTCTCGCCAGATGAAATGGGCAGGGAGACTGCAGGCCCGGTTGCTTAGCGACGCGAGGCCTGCGTCCTCACAAAGGGGGGGCTGCCCGCCGCCAGGATCCCAGGCTTGAGGGCTCACTGCACCTGCCCGCCTCGGCCCCAGACCCTCTCTTCCTACGGGGCGCTGCGAGCCACACCTGCGCCCCACCTGTGCCCGCCGCACGTGCCTCTTCTCCCTGGGCTCTGACGTGCTTCGCCCTAGTGGGATCTAAAAATATTTTATTTCCTCGTGTAAACAGTTGCATTTCCAACATTAATCTTTCTTTTTCTTTTTTTTTTTTTTTTTTGAGACAGAGTCTCGCTCTGTTGCCTGGGCTCGAGTGCCATGGCATCAGCCTAGCTCACAGCAACCTCAGACTCCTGGGCTCAAGCGATCCTCCTGCCTCAGCCTCCCGAGTAGCTGGGACTACAGGCGTGCGCCACCATGCCCAGCTAATTTTTTCTATGTACTTTTAGTTGTCCAGCTAATTTCTTTCTATTTTTAGTAGAGATGGGGGTCTCGCTCTTGCTCAGGCTGGTTCCGAACTCCTGAGCTCAAGTGATCCTCCTGCCTCAGCCTCCCAGAGTGCCGGGATCACAGGTGTGAGCCACCGCGCCCGGCCAAGTTTCCAACATTAATCTTAATAATTTTGTCTGAGCAAAGTTTACTCCAGAGAGCCCACCCGGGCCGCCCTGCCGGCTGCATCTCGCAGGGCCGTGCCTTCGCCCTGCCGCTCAGACGGGTCCTGCAGGAGCCCAAGGGGACATGGGGGCACCTCAGTGCCGCGGAGGCGTCACTCCCGGCTCACGCGGGCCCCTGTTGCTCCGTGTCTGCTGCCTGTGGTCATCTGTTCCGTCACAGGCGTCACAACCTTCGGGAACAACAACTTGCGTCACGTCCCTGATATAAAACCCGCTCGGCACGACCCGGAAATGTTGGCTGCCTCACGTGAAGCACAGGGGAAACATTGCAGGCTTTCTCGTTAGCAAACCAAGAATATGAGTCATTCCCCATATGCCACCTGCAAGGCATTGTTCTTTTCCGGTTTGACATGTTCACGCGTTAATTATTTACTGTCACCCCCCAGCCGTGCGTGGGAGTGAACTTCGCAGACTGAGCTGTGACTGAGCCCTTCCTCCAGCCCGTTCCCGAGAGCGCACAGTGACGGTGGCTTGGCGAGGACCGTCGATGAGCAGCGAGCAGCGAGCACCGCCGGGGAGGGGATCCGGCTCAGGTAGCGGCAGCCGGGCCGGGACTATCCAGTGCAGCAGTTTATAAATCCAGAGTTTATCCGGTCACTTTGGAGTTGTCCCTTGGAGGTCAGAGGCCCACACACACGCCTGCGAGACTGCACACCAGCTCTCCGCCTGGGCATCGGGCAAGCAAGGGAGGAGCTGTCTGTGTTAGAAGAGATTGCTCAGGGCCGGGCGCGGTGGCTCACGCCTGGGATCCCAGCACTCTGGGAGGCCGAGGCGGGCAGATTGCTCAAGGTCAGGAGCTCGAAACCAGCCTGAGCAAGAGCAAGACCCCGTCTGTACTAAAAATGGAAGGAAATTAGCTGGGCAACTAAAAATACATATAAAAAATTAGCCAGGCATGGTGGTGCATGCCTGTAGTCCCAGCTACTCGGGAGGCTGAGGCAGGAGGATCACTTGAGCCCAGGAGTCTGAGATTGCTGTGAGCTAGGCTGATACCACGGCACTCTAGCTTGGGCAACAGAGTGAGACTGTGTCTCAGAAAACAAAAAAAAACAAAAAACAGGCAACAGTGCTTACCTGTTGAAAATGCATCGGCCGTTTCAGAACAGGAGGAGGTGCGGCCCTGCTCTGCTCCACCCACTGCTCAAACTGAAATAGGTCCTTGCGCCCTGACACTGGGGCGAGATGGTGTTTGGGCCTGGAGTTCAAGGTGGGGCCTCTCCACCCTGCTTAGAGTGTCTGTCACGACACCCGTGGGCCGGAATATTCCGCAGGGAAACCTAGTCCCAGGGAGAGACTCGGGGCTGCAGCAACGGCTGTGGCCACTGTCCCGTCTCACTAGCCCTCTAGGTCCACCCGTCAGCTCCCTGGGACACTCAGCCTCGCCACCTGAGGCGGTGGGTGATGTCTAGCGCAGGAGCCCAGAGAGCCTTCCTCCCACCTCCATGAAAAAATCAAAATGAAATAAAAATCAAGATTTCTAACGCTCCCCTCTGCCTCTGGGCTGGGGACCCTGGCAGTCCTCGCTCTGATCTGGACACGTCTGCAGTGGCCCCCCAGGCCGTGCACACACACTTCCGAGGTCCTTCCCTGCTGGTCCCCCGCCTCTCGGCCACCAGGCCTGGGCCATGTCTCCAGGATGTTCTGCCAGGGCCTCGCTGCCCTGGAATGTCCCTGACTAAATTACAGCATTCCAGGTTCGACATGCTGACCCTGAGAATCCGAAGGTCAGTCCCAAACCAGACTTGTCCCAGCCCCGATTTGCGCCCAGGAGCACCTCGCCGCTTACCTACCACATCTGAAACCTGCAAGCCGGAGGGACGTCCCAGGCCACCGAGAGGGAGGCCGTGTGCACAAATACTCATGAGCTCTGTGCCGTGGGGACTGGGAAGGGTCGGCCCTCTGCCCCTCTGCACGGGGTGGCACTGGCAGCAGATGGGAAGCCACGTGCGGCAGCAGCCCGAGGACACCCGGCGCTGGCTTTATGCAGGAGGTCACTGCAGACCTCGAGGAGGGGGGTGGCATTCCCTGTGTCCGGGACATGATTTGGGCAGAGACGGAAGCTGCGTGGGCTCGGGGCCCACCTGGGATAGAGCCAGACACTTCGGGGAAGCGCTGGAGAGCGAGATTGGTGAGCGGGTGGACAGTAGAGGGGCAGGATTCAGCCCACAGGGCGGCTGGAGTTGAGACTGCCATCTTCAGACGGGGGACATCAAAGGTCTGCACGGAGGCCTGTGGCCATTGGTGCTGTGCCTCAGCAAAGCTGTTCTCCCTGAAGACCCCAGGGGTGGCGGTGGGGTGGGGGGGACGAGCCCTGCAGGAAGATCTGGAGAGACCTGGGAGGGAAGGGGTAGGAAGTGGTCGAGGCTCCGTGCATGGGACAGAGGACACTGGTCAGAGAACCGGAGGGGGGATGCATGGTCACACCGAGGGGAGTCCAGCCCGATGACGGGAAGACAGCCAGCGGTCAGGGACGGGTGCGGAGGGCGGATTCAAGCATGCGGGGAAATGCCAAGCTGGGCTCGGGCGGGTGGCGTTTGAGAGGCATGAAACATAAGCCCGTGGAGGTTGCGATTTCATGTTTATCTGGCCACCGCCCGTGTCCTCGCTGGGCTGACCCGGGGAGAGGCCCCGTCCGTATCCGCTCCCCACCCCGGCTCCAGCGAGGCCCGAATCCGCCCCAGGGCTCGGCGGCGCCGGCCGCCTTCCCGAGAGGCCCGCTTTCCTCTCGTGACAGACCTGGGGCACCTGCTCGTGCCCCGCTGGACGCCACAGAGCTGCAGTTCCAGGGTGGGTGTCGCTCCCACAAAAAAAGTAAACGTAGTGCCCACATGTAGCTGCGGAGCTGCCTTCGCAGCGGGGCTAGAAGCAGCCGTGGGGGCAGGAACCCAGGAGGGAAGGGGCGGAGAAGGCTCAGGTGCAAGGAGAGAGGAAGTAGCAGCACCTGGCCGGAGAGCTGCCAGGGGACCCGGCACCATGGGAAGGAAAGAGGCGCCCAGGGACGGTGGGGTGGGCAGAGCCGCCCCAATATCCTGTGCTGGTGGAGAGAAGGGCCTCTGTGCTGGGGACACAGCAGGTGACACACACACTCCACGCCCAGCGTCATCACGCACCGTCTTACTAGGGTGTGCCCCAGTTGAAACTATTCTCAAAGGCTTCCAGTGGTTTAGGGCACGCCGAAGACCTTATTATTGATGATGGTGATGGTGTGTGTGTGTGTGTGTGTGTGTGTGTGTGTGTGTGTGTGTGATCCATGCGACTGTTTAGAATACAAATATTTGGACGGGAGGTAAGTCCATAAAATAATCACATTTATTTAGCAACTCAGACTCCGTGAGTTTCAAGAGACATCAGCTCTAGCCTGGCTTTCGGTGAGTGGACTCGTTCAGACCTGTTTGCAAGGTGTGCGGCCTTAGAAGTGTAAAAGTTTACCCATTTGTAAAATTACGGTGTCAGACTACCGTTATTTCAGGTAGCCTTCCGACTCCTACAAACATCAACAAAAATACGGGTAAGTCTCTGATTCTCATGTAGGATTGCACCTTAAATATTTTTCTTTTGTATCTAAAATGAAATGGACTGACACCTTCATAGATATTCCTGGCCTCTCTTGGTGAGATGATGGGCTAAAAATTCGTCAGAGTGGGAAAATACACGAGAAGTGAGATCACGCAACGTCTCTGGACGGCAAACACGCTGAAGCAGCGCTGAAGACTGACTGTCCACCCCGAGGCATCCTCAGCCGAACGCTTCTGCGACACCGTGTGGGTCCCCCACGACGGCCGCGCTCACATTTTTGTCTGTATTTCTTTCACCTCTTCTTGGCACGCCTGTGTTGGCTCAAGCGGTCTGCCCGGGTTCTCGGACTCCAGATACTCGACAGTGCCGTAAGCCACCATGGTGACACTCAGGACCCCGATGAGGATGTAGAGTTTCACGTAGACACAGAGGAACGTGCTGTACCCAAAGGCGATGACAAACCCCAGCGCTTCAAACAGGCGGTAGCTGGCAAAGGCGGACTCCTTGTTCTCCTCGAACAGCACGCCGAAGAGAGCTGCAGAGACAGGGTGACAGTGCAGTGGCAGGTGTCACACCGTGAGAGCTGCAGGGGAGGTGACAGGCAGCGGGCAGGTGTCCACGGTGAGACCAGGGCAGGACAGCGAGCAGTGGCCACGTGGTCACATCGGTGAGAGCCTCAGGGAGGTGACAGCCTGCGACGTGGCAGGTGTCACACGCTGAGAGCTGCCAGGGAGGTACAGCAGCAGTGGCAGTGTCACACCGGTGAGAGCGCAGGGAAGGCTGACAGTGCAGTGACAGTGTCCACAGCGGTGAAGCTAAGGGGATCTGACAGTGCAGCTGGCAGGTGTCCACACAGGACAGATGCCAGGGACAGGTGACCAGCTGCAGTGGCCAGGTTCCAGCATTGAGAGCTGCAGGGGAGGTGACAGTGCAGCTGGCAGCGGTTCAACGTGGACTGCCAGGGAGGTGCATGCAGGGCAGTTTTGTCCACGGCTGAGAGCTGCAGGGGAGGTGACAGTGCAGTGGCAGGTGTCACACAGTGAGAGCTGCAGGGGAGGTGACAGTGCAGTGGCAGGTGTCACACAGTGAGATGCAGGGGCAGGTGGACAGAGGCAGTGCAGTGTCACAGTCAGTGGAGAGCAGGGGAGGTACAGTGCACAGTGCAGGTGTCACACAGTGAGAGCTGCAGGGGAGGTGACAGTGCAGTGACAGGTGTCACACGGTGAGAGCTGCAGGGGAGTGACAGATGCAGTGGCAGGTGCACACAGGTGAGAGTTGCAAGGACGGTAAGTGCAGTGGCAGGTGTCACACTGAGAGCTCGGAGGTGACAGTCAGTGGCAGGTGTCACACGGTGAGAGCTCAGGGAGGTGACAGTGCAGTCAGGGTGCACACAGGTGATGAGCTGCAGGGGAGGTGACAGTGCAGTGGCAGGTGTCACACAGTGAGAGCTGCAGGGGAGGTGACAGTGCAGTGGCAGGTGTTCACACAGTGAGAGCTGCAGGGGAGGCTGACAGAGCAAGTGGCAGGTGTCCACAGTGAGAGATGCAGGAGGTGACAGTGCACGTGCAGGTTCCACACGGGTGAGAGCTCAGCGGAGTGAATAGGCAGGGCAGGTGTCACCGGATGAGGCTCAGGGGGATACAGTGCGCAGTGAAGGTTCCACACATGAGCAGCTCAGGGAGTGGACAGAGCAGTTGCAGGTGTCACACAATGAGAGCTCAGGGAGTGACAGTGCGTGCAGTGTCACACATGAGAGTTCAGGGGAGGTGACAGAGCAGTGCAGGTGTCACACAGTGAGAGTTGCAGGGAGGTGACAAGAGCAGTGGCAGGTGCACACGGTGAGAGCGCAGGGGAAGTGACAGTCAGTGCAGGTGTCACACAGTGAGAGTTCAGGGAGGTGACAGAGCAGTGGCAGGTGTCACACCTGTGAAGTGCAGAGGAGGTGGGACAGGGAGCAGTGCAGGTGGCACACGTGGAGAGCTGCAGGGAGGTGACGCAGAGCAGCGAGCAGTGTCACAGGTGAGAGTGCGGGGAGCTGACGCGTTTTGCAAGATGCAGGCGTCCACAGTGAGAGTATCAGGGAGGTGCAGACAGTGGCAGGTGTCACACAGTGAGATTGCAGGGGAGGTGACAGAGCAGTGGCAGTAATCACACGGGTGAAGTGCAGGGGAGCTCGGTGCAGTGCAGGCGTCACAACAGTCTGACGCAGTTGCAGGGAGTGACAAAGCGCTGGCAGGTGCACACAGTTGAGTTGCAGGGAGGTGACGGTGCAGTGGCAGGTGTCACACAGTGAGAGCTGCAGGGAGGTGACAGAGCAGTGGCAGGTGTCACACGGTGAGAGCTGCAGGGGAGGTGACAGAGCAGTGGCAGGTGTCACACCGGTGAGAGCTGCAGGGGAGGTGACGGTGCAGTGGCAGGTGTCACACAGTGAGAGTTGCAGGGGAAGGGACCAGACGCCAGCTGGCAGGTGTCACACAGGAGAGTTGCAGGGGAGGTGACAGAAGCAGCTGGGGCAGGTGCAGCCACGGTGGAGGTTGCAGGGGAGCTGACGGTGCAGTGGGCGAGGCGTTCACACAGTCGAGAGTTGCAGGGGAGGTGCAGAGCAGTCGCAGGTGGTCACCAGCAGTGAGCAGTTGCAGGGGACGTGACAGAGCAGCGCGCTCGGCAGGTGTCCACAGCGGTGAGTAGTTGCAGGAGCTGACGGTGCACGCGTGCAGGTGTCACAAGTTGAGAGCTGCAGGGAGGTGACAGAGCAGTGACAGGTGTCACATCCAGTGAGAGCTTGCGCCAGGGAGGTCGACACGAGCGTTGACAGATGTCACCACGGTGAGAGCAAGCGCCAGGAGGTGACAGAGCCAGTGAGCCGATTCCACCACGGTGAGACAGCTGCAGGGCGGCGGTACAGAGCAGTGCAAGTGTCACACGTGAGACGAGCTCGGCGGCGGGGTGACAGAGCAGTGACAGATGTCCCACGCAGTGAGCAGGCTGCAGGCGGAGTGACAAGAGCAAGTTGACAGTGTGCACAGCCAGTGAGCAGCTGCAGGCGGGAGGGGAACAGATGCAGCTGCAAGGTCAGCACAGTGAGAGTCAGGGAGGTGAACAGTGCAGTGCAAGTGTCACACGTGAGAGCTGGCAGGGGAGGGCGACAGCAGCAGTGACAGAGTCACACAGTGAGAGCTGCAGGGGAGGGACGGCAGTGCAGGTGTCACCACGGTGAGCCACTGCAGGGAGTGACAGACCCGCACTGGCAGGTTCCACACGTGGAGTTTGGCAGGGAGGTGACAGTGCAGTGGCAGGTGTCACACGGTGAGAGCTGCAGGGGAGGTGACAGTGCAGTGGCAGGTGTCACACAGTGAGAGCTGCAGGGGAGGTGACAGAGCAGTGGCAGAACCCCAGATACCAGTCTTCCACTCGCTGCAGGAAACAGTGTCAGTTTCCCACCTCTTGATTTTCTCAACTAATTCAGGACCTTTTTCTTTAAAGAAAAAAAGCAAGTGTTCTTTCACACTGCGGGCCACAGTGATCAGGTGACATCCTGTGGCAGGGAAGAACTGTCACCTATACAAGGAACACAGAACTCAGGAAACGGCGCTGAGGGAATCTCGGCCACCTGCACTCCATAGACCGCGGGGACGCAGCTCAGAGCGGGGACTGGGGAAGGCCGGGCATGGCGGCGGGACGTTTGGGAATGCCGGAACCGTGTGGGTCAGCTTAGCGGGCGAGCAGTCCCATCTCGCCATGTCCAGACAACCACGGCAGGGTTGACCGGTCACTGCCGCGTGAGACCGCCCTTCCTGCCCCAGAGCGAGAGTCCCCCAGCACGGTGCCAGCGCCCAGGGCCTCCCGCCTGCGCGTCCACGCAAGGCGCGCTCTGATTGGGCCCGTCTGGAAGGACGACCGGGGACCCCCGGGGGCTGTCTGCGGGCTTGGGGGAGAAATGACTAAGCGTGTTACGGACCGAACCGAGTCCCCCAGATTCACAGTGCCAAAGCCTCGGCCCAGGACCCCAGAACACGGCGCTATTTGGAGACGGGCCTTCACAGAAGGGACCGAGGCAAAGGAGGCCGGCCCGGCCCCAGCCCAGGTGACAGGCCTCGTGTCACGCGAGTGGGCAGCCGGGATGCACACACACACACACACACACGGGAAAGACCACGCGAGGACCGGGGGGACACATTGTCTACACCGCGGGGCTCAGGAGAAACCTCCCTGCCAGCTCCCAGCTCCTGTGGGAACAGGTGTGTGCTGTTCAGGCTGCCCAGCGGGCACTTGCTGCAGCGGCCGGGCTGACGGAGACTTCTAGATGCCTCCCCTGCGCCGTGTGCTGATGCCTTTGACGTGCGGGCAGGAGGCTGCTCCAGCGCCACCTCCAGGACGGGGCTGACGGCGGGAAGGTGGACGGGTCCATCCAGAAGGCCCCTCCCAGCACCTGATGTCCTGGTGCCACCAAGCCTGGAAGGGCCCATGTGTGGGGGCCCGCTGCCCTGGTCCCCTCGATGCCCCCATTCCTGGGAGCTCCAGCCTCCCTGGCTGCTCTTCTCCCTGCTTCCCGCCAGCTGGGATCAGGCTGTGCGGGCTCTGCTCCTTCCTGTCTTCTCCCCCCATGCCCTGCAGCTCAAGGCAGAGGGAGAAGGGGGAGCAAGGGGCCGCCGGCTATGGGGAGCGGGGTCGCTCCAGCCCTTTCTGACCCTGGGCCGGGCCACGCCCGCTGCGCAGGCCAGGAAGGCCGAGCGCGGCCCCGGGCAGCGAGAGCGTGGGCGCTTACCGGTCCCCTGCGCTATAGGAACGGAGGATGGGCACAGTGGACCCGGTTCCCGGCCTCGGGCAGCAGCAGGGCAGGCGTGCTGGGCGTGGGAGGGGTCCCGACAGGCCATGCTCCCACCGGAAATAGCTCCTGACAAAGACCCCCCCCAGGCCCTACCCGCTGGGCCGTGCAGTGTGGCCTCCGTGGGCGACACAGGGCAGGACAGGCCCCTTTCCTTTCTCTTGCGTGAGATTTACCTACAGCGTGTCCTTCCGGGCCTGCCCTGGGGGAGGGGTGGTGGCCGCCACAGGGTCACGTCACAGGCCGAGGCAAGCGGTCAGAGATGGGGCACGAGCGGGGAGCAGGGTGTGCAGTGACCGCAAACGCACGTAGGGCCGGAACCCGAGCCCGAAGCACGCGGTCTCCCCAAAAGGGTTACCGATCGCGAGCTCAGCAAGGCCCTTGGGACAGAGGCTGCCTCCTTAAAATCTCATAAATTCACAGGACCCCTGGGGCCCAGGAGGAGGGGGCCCTGGTCCCTCTCGGGCAGAGGAGTACTTCCGGACCCGCCATTCTGTGCCTGCAGCGGTGGGTGTGCAAGGTTGCCATGGTAACCCTGTCTGGGTGTCTCGCTGGCAGTCACAGTGAATAGAGGGTGGAGTCACCGGCACAGACCTGCTGCCAAAGGCTGGGGAATTCCGGGGCCCCTCGGGAGCGCGGAGCAGCGATTCCCAAATCCCGCCCCGGGAGGGACGGCAGGAGGGCTGGGGTGGGGTGGGGGTGGGCGCGTCGCCCGGCCTGCTTCCGAGCACGCGGCCCACGCAGCTTCCTAAAAGAAAGGTGTTCAGGGAAAACAGGGCTGGACATCCAGATTTGCTGTTCAGAACAACAGGAACGAGTGAGAGCAGTTCTTGAGACGGGGCCAAAGCTACACAAAATTCACCTTTTTTTTTTTTTTTTTTTTAAGCAGAGAACAGAGACCTCGCGGACAAGCCGTGCCGCACGGTGGCACAGCCTGAGAGCCGGGGGCGCGGCCTGCCGGGAATTCCGCACTAAATGTCCCTCCTTGCTAGGGCGACAGGGGGTGTGGGTTCCACGGGAAATTCTCAAGTATGTGGGGATGTTTCCCCCAACGATCGCCCTGTCTTTGAAAAAAAATTGTTTTTACCTGTACGCAGAGGCAGAATTTCATTCCCTCGTGGAAGGGACTCCTTGTTCCAGGCACTCGCTGGACTTGACCTTCTTTACTGGACCTCAGGTGACTTTCCCCACCCTTTGGGCAGGGCCTGGCCTGAGAGCGCCCGTGCGTGTGAGCACGGGGTGGGTTAAGGCGATCATTCGCATGCCTGAGCGGCAAGAAACCCAAACACTTGGCACTGCGCTCATTCTAAAGATCAGGAGAATTATTGTATGAATATCGTGGGGCCGTTCACCCCAATCCTCTCCTTGACCTTTAATACGTAAACACTTTTTAAAATCCTCGTGAGTTCAGAGGCGTCACTTTGCATTTTGGGCAGGGGGATGGGACGTGCATGTGCCGTCCATCCTCCTGGGGGTGGGGGGAGCCGGAACAGACTCTCCCAGGTGCTCGCCGGGTCCTTCCAGGTGGTCTGACATGCCACTAACCCAAGGAAAGCCAGAGTGAGTGTGTGTACGTGTACCTCCCCTGCCGGAAACCAGCGTCTGTCCTGAGCAACGATGTCACAGCCTGGCCTCGGGGTAGCTCCAACCTGTCCCCTCCCAGCTACCGAGCTTAAGCCGAATGAGCCATATCAGGGCACAGAGCCAAACACCCCCCGTCACTTGGACACAGAACTCCGCCAAGGCCAGGAGGGAAGACTGAGAAACATGACCCTCAAGTCCAACGGTGGAGGTTTGTGGAAAGGCAGTTTTCCAGCTGTCCCATAAACTGACCACAGGAAAGGGCCTGGCCCGGAGCGTCCGGCCCGTGGTCTGGGGTGACATGGGCTTTGCCGTCCTCGGGTCTGGAGCGAGCGCCCGGCCCAGCCCTGCACTCGGGCCTGCGGCAGTTACTGCATTTGTCTCCCCCAGTTTCGAGCCCTGGGTCAGGGCAGAACAGCGACATCCCTCTTGGAGGGAAGAGGGCCTCTTCCTAGCCACCTTCACCCCCGAGAGGACCCTCGATCTCTTCTCGCCGACGTTTGCCAGACACTCCGCTCCCGGCTCTTGGGCCTCTGACACCCCCGGGCCTCAGCGGGGCCTGTTTCCACCCTAAGCCCCGATGCCTGTCGCTTCAACCGAAACACACACCCTCTGGACACCCTCCTCCCGCACCCCAGCCCTGCCTCCTCTTCCCCCGAGCCGCCCCTCCCAAACCCGCTAGCTCATCTCGCCACCCACAAACGCCTCCGCCTCCCGACGGCCACCCTTGGCGCTCCTCCCTGCCAGTTCCGCCAGCGCCTTTTCCCTTTTCCCTTTGTCCCGCCGTCCTCCTGCAAGGTGCCCAGGGACAGGGCAGCCGTCCTCCTGCCGGGCCTTCAACCTTCCTTCTCTGGCTCCTCCCGCCCCCGTCCCAGCCCCAAGCTCGAGTCGAAACAACAAAAGAGAAGCCTTGACGACCCCCACGCCCGGCCACAGCCCCCCTGTCCACTCGCTCAGACCCTCGGCTCGCCAGCTGCCTCCCCCCACCAGGAACCAAGACGCCAAGCCACGTCCTGGGAGAGCCACCAGAGCGCACCCCAGCTACTGGCTGTCCACTCGTCCTGGAAACGACGACCCCAAGTGAGTCTGACTCCTTCCCCGGCACAGCAGCCCTGCCCAGCCCGTCTCTCCGCCAGATCCCTCCACAAGCACCCGGCCACCCTCGTACCCCCCAGGCAGGCTATGGAACCCCAGGCCACCCTCTTATCCCCCAGGCAGGCCACAGAACCCTAGGCCGCCCTCTGATCCCCCAGGCAGGCCACGGAACCCCAGGCCACCCTCTTACTCCCCAGGCAGGCCACGGAACCCCAGGCCACCCTCTTACCCCCCCGGCAGGCCACGGAACCCCAGGCTGCCTCCTGCATCAGCCGCCCCCTAGACAGCGATTGCCAAGACTCGACAGAGCGTGACTCTGGGACAAGCCTGTCCGGCCCTCCCCTGCCCGATCCCACCCAGGGCCTCCCCGCCACACTCCCAGAAAACCCACCACTGCCCCCGACCCTGCGTGACACGCGGCGCCCACGCTGATCCCAGCCACACGACACTCCTCGCCTCCAGCGCCGGCTCCCCCACCCGGCTGGGCGCCCCTGGCAGTGCTGGGCACCCGTCTGTCCCAGCGCGGTGCAGGGGACTCGGGCCTCTGCTCAGAAGGGCCTCGGTGGTGGCCGAAAGTCAGGGGGTGTGGTCGCAAGGGAAGAGCCTACGCCGGGCCGCAGGCGGCACCACTACTTGAGCTGGGCAGCGCCACCCCGAGGACCCTGAGCCTCAGGAAGCTGGTGCTGGGGTGGGTGGGGTCCTCTCTTGCATCGCGGATCCGAGTGGACGCTCAGACCCGAGTGTGACTCCGACGCCCCCCTGGGCCGCCTGTCCCGTCTCTCGACTCTCCTCTCCCGGCGTGGGCACACCGCATCCCACGGGGCTCCCACGGGAGATGCCGGGGAGACCTGCGGGGGAGGGGCGGGGCACTCACCGTTGTTCTGCGTCTGCCACACGGCGTCCGCCACGCCCCACAGGCCGGAGAACACGAAGAACACCGCCAGCTGGTCGGGGTGGGGCGTCCACAGCAGCAGGGCGACGGAGCAGCAGAGCTGGGTGGCCGCGCCTGCGGGCAGAGGGGGCCCCCAGAGGAGGGCGGGGCCGGGGTCCTCCTGAGCACGGGCCTCCTGCTTAAGGAGCGTCTCCCCGCGATGCCCCCGAGTGGCCTCCTGGGGGGTCGGGCACGCGTTGGTGGTGGACAGGTGTGCAAGGTGACACCTGCGCCTTGTCTCCACGGGGGCTACCCGGGCCTTCCAGACAGGCAAGGCCCCCCAGGCGGGTGATGTCTGCGCTCCCACCCGTGGCCCGGTGCGTCCCCACGTTTGGCCCCCCGATTTTGGCAGACGCTGTGAGGTCCCTAGACTGCAGCAACAGGGACCTCCTGTGACCTCCAGAGACTGCAGAGGAGCGGAAAGAGCAGGGTCTCTGGAGCCAGAGAGACGGGCCTGCCCCACCTGCCCCAAGGCTATGTGATCTTGGCTAAGTCACTGCGCTTCTCTGGTCCTCAGTTTCCTCGCCTGTAAAATGGGCACCGTCTGCTGCACGGGGCGGCTGTGAAGATGAACTAGGCCACGTGCCGAGCTCTGGGCCCCTCGCAGGCACCAGCAAGGCCCATTGTTTTCCTCCCTCTTGCGACACCTCCTTGGACCCGCCCTGCCCTGCCTGGGCCCTGGGGGCTGTCCCCACTGACGCCCATTTCCCACGGTTCACAGCATCTGTGTCTCTTCTCTTTCCTTCACTTCCGGGGAAAACGGAGAGTGCTGTGTGTTTAGAGTGGAGTCCGCCAGCTGTAAAAGCTCGTCTTGGCCCACTTTGTGAACAGACGATCGTAAGCAAAGCTGCCACGGCCCAAGCGTGGTTCTCAGGCGGCCCCCGCCTCCCCCAGGACCCGGGACGGGCTCAGGGCCCCTCGTTTTTGCCTCCACAAAACTCTGCACTGACCCCGCCTGCGCCTCCCGCCACGCTCCGCTGAGCCCCACGTGGCGCACGCGCGTGGCGGGCGGGAGCGCCGGCTCTCTGAGCTCGCTGTGCAGCGCGTGCTGAGCGCGGAGCCTGCCCAGAGCCCGGGGCGGAGGAGAAACCCGACTCCCGCTTGTCCGTGGACAGGAGGAAGGCATGAGCGGGAGGGGGTCTCCGCGGGGCTCTGTGATTTCAAGGGGGGTTCACAGACGCCCCTTTAGCCCTCGCACCGACACGCCGCACCTACCCAGCGCGAAGATGGCGACCCTGCCCGTGTACTGAGAGAGCTTCCCGTAGAGCAGCGAGCACAGCGAGTCCGTGGCCGAGAAGCAGATCATCACGTAGCCGACATACTGGATGCCCAGGGTGCAGGTGACGTAGGACTGGGGGAGGAAGAGAGCGGTCACGCAGGCCCTTGGCTCCCCGGGGGCCCGAGCCTAGGAGGCCGGACTGGCGGCAGCGGCGGCGGCTGCGCTAATGCGGCCCTCGGCTCCCCGGGCAGAGCGCGGTGCTGATCTTCGGGGGAAATCCTCTCTGGGGCACAAGCTGAACAGGAGCAGTTAGGACAGACGTCTGCACAAAACTCCTCCCTGTACCTCCCTCGCCACCAACTCGTGACACACGCGTCTTTTTGCGCGGTGGCTGAGGTGCACCGGCAGTCCCCTAGTGCGACAGTCAGGAGGAGATGGAGAGAGACGGAGGGAAGTTCTGTGTCGGAGCCCGGGAGGTGGAACAGCGCCTGGGCGCCCGCACCATCACAGTGACCCGCTGGGCAGCCGCACGGCCGGCCGTGCTGGGACGTCCTCTCACTGTCCCCGTGCCCCCGTCACAGGGTGGAACTGGGGACGGGCACCAGGAGGGGGCTGGGGGCCACCGAGCCTCACTGCAGCCACATGCGGGGGCAGTGACAAGTCTGATGGGGGCATGTGTCCAAACAGCAAGAGGACTTTTCTGTCTTCTTGTTTTTTTCTCTTTTGAGCCCCTGAGACTCTCCATCAAGACTGCCCTACACTGCATCTACTACTATTAATCCTCTAGAAATAAGTATGTTTAAAGTAAAGCTACTTGAAACTCGACACAGGGCTTGTTTTCCAAAGAAGAAGTATTGTTTAGAGGAGCAAAATTATAAGCCCTACCCACATGTGTTGTAAACTGTTTTGAAAAGTGAGGCTTGTGACTAGAAAGGTAGTGCCCAAGTCTCACAATCCTCTTAAAACTTGTAACAAATACAGATAAGTTAAAAACTAAAATTAAAAAAAAAATCCTACTGCAAAAACAAGCGAAAAGAAATAAAACAAAAAACAAACGAAAAGGACGCCCTACAGGCAGCGGCATTGCCAGGTAGAATCTAGGGCACCCCGCTACTGCAGGGCCACTGGGCGTTGTGTGGTCCACCAGAGATTCAGGGTGACTGTACTGCGTTTTCATCTCACTAGGGTGGCGGCCCCAGCTGGGCAGGAGTCAGGGCGGGGGCATGGAGGGTCTCTGTTTGGGAGGGCTGTGACCCGGAGGGCCCGCCGAGGGACACAGGCAGCTGCCCAGGCCCAGCCTGGCTCCAGACAGCCCCTGCGTGGCCCGTCTCCTGCCCAGCACGCGCGGGGGGTGAGGACCTCAGCGTTCATCTACTCAGGGGTGGCTTTTAGGGCAAAGCCTCACTATGGGGCACCTTCCAAGCACCGAGAGGCTCCTCAGAACAGGACACCCCCCTGGCAGGCAAACCAGGGTGACAGAGGCCTGGTGAGAGGCCCCTGCAGGGAGCTGGGTGGAGCCGATTGTGCCAACTGCCACCGTGTGCCCAGCAATCTGTGCCACTCTGGTCAGCCCCACAGGGGCCTCCCCTTACACAGGGAGTGGCCGGGCAGCACCTGGGGAAGGTGCTCACCCGGGGAGAAGGGGACTGGGGTGGACAGGGAGACAGAGCCTGCGTGGCCGCTCTGCTTTCTAGTAAGGTCTAGTTTGAAAACCAGAGCGGCAAGGAACGTCAGTGCTATTTCTGGATTTCACGCCCCTCCCTATGAGCTCTAAGGCAAGGGCATAGGGCGAGAGCCAGGCAGCCAATATGAGCTGGGTCAGCAACCGCTGCTGTCTGACAGCTCCGCCCTTTTCCCAGGGAGACACGTATCAGGCAAGGAGTGTCCCCTGAGATAGGGAGTCCCAGCTCCCGTGAGCTGGCTACTTGGAGGCTGCACCCTGAGCCATAAACTTGGCTACCATGGGGCGGGACACACAGGAGTCCCCTTCCCGCCAGCCAGGCTGGGAGGGTGGCCGGAGACGCTGCCGCCCCTGCAGGAGCAGACCCGGGCACGGCGGTGGCACCAACGTGTCGTGAGCCTGTGGCTCCAGCTCTGTCGTACCCTGGTGTACTCGCCGGACAGGAAGCCCTGCTGCAGGCCGCTGTACAGCGGCAGCAAGGTCAGGAGGCACAGGCGCTTGTCTCGGAACAGCTTGAATGTCGACAGCAGCGTGGACCAGAACGGCGGTGATTTCCTCTCTCCCCCACCTTCCCGCTGAACGTCTTGTATGTTTTCAAGAAACACAACGATCAGCAGGATGGCCAGCACGCCACTCCCTGAGGGGGAGGCAGAGACAGCTGCGTCAGCACCCACAGGGCCCCGGAGGAGCCCAGGCCCGAAACGGCCCAGGAAGGCGTAGCTACGTGCACCTGGGAGCTCTGCTTGCAATAGGAGTTCCACCAGACGTTGGTTAGTCGAGTGTGTTTCCGTCTCCACCACTGGACTCTAACCCCCTGTGGATGGTGCAGTTCTGGTCTTGAGCACGGTGCCTGACGCACGCTAGTGCTCCGTGTGCCTGCTCAGTCTGGATGAGGGTTTCACGAGTGCACACTCCCGACCTCTGATCCGGAAGTGGCTCTACAGGGGCCTGAGTGCTGGTGGCAGCTCACTGTCCCTCCAAGAGGTCAGAGGTCCGCTGTGCATGCTAACCTTCCAGCCTCTGCTTTCCCCCAGCAGGGCGCTGGGCTCCGTTCCCCAGCTCTTACATGTACCAGACCTTTGATCTTTAAGGGCATGTTCCAAGGCCTTCATAAATTCCAAAATTCAAGAATGACAGAGAATGTATATAGATTTCCCTTAGAATCATTAAAAAAAAAACCCTCTAAATGTATCCTTTTCAAAGCAGTAATAACTAACCCTTTTTCTGCAGTAGCATATGGAAAAATAAAAAAATAAAAAAAAAAGAAAAAAAATAACTAACCCTTTAAACATAAGAGTTAAGTCATAGACACTTGTCCTCTCAGGAAAGAACCAAGGTTGTGACTAGAGGTCACACCTGAGCAGAGCATGGTGGAGAGAGCCCTGGAGCTTCGCAGAGAAGACAAGGAGGCCCTGAGCACAGGAGGAAGAGGCAGGAGGCAGTCCATGGTCCAAGCCCACCGTGCTCTGCTGCAGTCCCAACCACCTCTGCCCACACGAACCCTGAGTCGGGCCAGCCTGGTGACCTGGGGACCCTGCAAGGGCAATGCACCAGGCAGGGGACTCTCGCTGGGCCACACCCCCCCCCCCAAGGCCTAGGTGGCTGCAGTTTGGTGCCATTGTGAGAGTACATAGAAAAACTGGAAGAAGCAGCTGTTGCACCAGGTGCATATATAGCGATGTAAGGGCACAGGAGACATTAAAAACAAGGAAATGGGACACCACCAACAACAAAATAATTCTCCAACAACAGATTCCAATGAAATTCAGAAAATACTGAAAAATTAAAATTGGAATACTAAAGAAGTTCAGTGAGATACAAAAGAATTCCAAAAATCAGTACAAAGAAATCAGAAAAACAATTCAAGATATGAATGAGAAATTTACCAAAGGGATAGATACTACACACACACACACACACACACACAAATGAAACAGAAATTCTGAAACTGAAGAATTCACTGAACGAAATACAAAATACACTCGAAAGCTTCAACAATGGGCAAGATCAAGCAGAAGAAAGAATCTCAGAGCTTGAAGACAGGTCTTTTAAAATAACTGAGACAAAAATAATGAAAAAAGAATGAGCAAAGCCTTTGTGATATATCAGACACCATAAAGTGACCAAATATATGAATTAACAGTATCCCAGAGGGCAAAGAGAGAAAAAAGGTTTGGAAAACCTATTTAAAGAAATAGTAGGTAAAAACGTCCCCAAGTCTAGCAAGAGCTTTAGACATTCAGGTATGAGGAATAGGAAGGTCTAGGAATCCCCAAACAGATAACAATGCAAAAAGGTATTCCCCATGGCATATTATAGTCAAACTGTCTAGAATTAAAGAAAAAGAGAGAATTCTACAAGCAGCACGAGAAGAGCATCTAGTCACCTATAAAGGAATCCCCATCAGACTAACAGTGGACTTCTCGGCAGAAACCCTAAAGGCCAAAAGAGAGTGGGACGATAAATTCAAAGTGCTGAAAGAGAAAAAAAACAACAAAAAACCTTCCAGCCAAGGATACTATAAGTAGCAAAATCATCCTTCATAAATGAAGGATGAAATAAAGTTGTTTTTTAAGAAGCGAATGCTAAGGGAATTTCATTACCACTAGACCAGCCCTGCAAGAAATGCTCAAGTGAGGCCGGGACCTGTAAACCAAAGGATGATGGTTGCCATCGTGAAAGCATGACAAAGTCTAAAATTCAGTGGTAAGGTAAACATGATTGCAGAAGAGAAAAGACCCCCACGGTGCCGCTACAGAAACCACCAAACTGTGAGGACACACGATGAGCCCGAGAGGAAGGAACAAAGAACGTACTGACGGGAGCAGCATTGCACACGTCAGTGTAAACGGACTTAACTCTCCACTTAAGAGCATAACAGCAGAACAGGTGAAAAAGCAACACCCAGCAATATGCTGTCTACAAGGAACACACTTTACTTGTAAAGACACATACATGACAGGATGAAAGTTAAGAGATGGAAAAAGATATCCCATGCAAAGGGAAACCACAAATGAGCAGTAGTAGCAATACTTGTATCAGATAATAATAAACTTTAAGTCAAAAACAATAAAAAAGAGGACAAAGAAGGTCACTGGACAATGATAGAGGGACCAATCCGGCAAGAGGACATAAGAATTTTAAATATGCTTGTGTCCAGATGCACAAAGCAAATATTCCTAGACCCGGCTGCTGCGTTAGCTGCTGCAGAAGTTCAACGATCCCATCACCGCGTGACGTGCCGTTAGACAGCACCAGTCCCCTGTGTTTGATCTTTATAAGGAAAGCACTTGCACGTGACCCAGCCCAGCACACTTTGCAAGGATTTTTCAGGTGAGGGAAATTTGCGCTGGGTGTGATGGTCTCTGTCGTAACGGGAAGGAGGTGTGGTTTTGCTTTGCTCAGGACTAGGCTCCGGCCGGGCTGTGGGGCACGTACCGGTGTAGATGCCCAGCAGGGTGTAGATCAGCTCCGGGGAGGGGCGCTGGGTGCTGTTGCTGGGCGTGGTGGCCATCTGGCAGTCTCTGGCCCCGCAGGTGGCCAGCTGCTCCTCCGGGATGGCCTCTGTGAATTCAGAGCAAATAGGCGCTATGAGAATGAGAGGACAGGTGTTAACAATCAGACAGGTGTTAATACTCGGACAGGTGCGGGCACCTGGGGAATGAACGTGCCAGTGGAAAGGAGGGTGCACACCTGAGGCCAGGGCTGAACGACCAGGGTCTCTAAATACATTTACCCCCAAACACAGGTCTGCAGACTTGATTTCAAGGTGCTTCAGCTGGGAGGTAGAGAGGCACATCAGTGTTATGCAAAGATTCAGAGAGGAACAAACGTGGGTTAAACGCTGGTTACTTGTTAGATTGCTTTCCAGACATAACCAAAATTTCTCAGCTCTTCAAAATTAGTCAAAAAGAAAGTACATCAAATTGGGTGTCAAGAATGCTGGGTTCTTGGCCCGGTGTAGTGGCTGGCACCTGTCATCCTAGCTCTCTGGGAGGCCGAGGCGGGAGGATCGCTCAAGGTCAGGAGTTCGAAAACCAGCCTGAGCAAGAGCCAGACCACGTCTCTACTAAAAATAGAAAGAAATTAGCTGGACAACTAAAAAAAATATATATAAAAGAAAAATGAGCCGGGCACGGTGGCGCATGCCTGTAGTCCCAG